CATCATGTCCGCCAGCTCTCTACCTTTCCCTGTCATTGTGCCAACGTTAAGAGTCCATATTCCTCTTCTCTCTCTGTCTACGAATCCTTCTACCTCCTCTCCTTCTTCGACCATCAGTAGTCCAATTTCCACCAGCACCCTGTAGGTCAACAGCACTGGTGGCGGTCATTGTTAACCTGGGCCTCAATCGATCCGGTATGGAATTCACACTGATGAGTCGCATGTTTAAATTTGGCATGTTTTTATGCCGGATGCCCTTTCTGATGCAACCCTCTCTATTTATCCGGGCTGGGGACCGGCACAGAAGTCACTGGCTTGCAACCCCTGTGGCTAGAATAATTAGAGTATGTGGGAAATACTCTGTTAAGGTTAAAAGGAGGAGGAGTGGTTAACTTTGTAATAAGAATTGATTTTAGATTTTACTTCAGATGTAAGAAGAGGGTAATGCTTAACTAAAGCTGTTAGTTTATTAGTGTTAAAGTCTCAAGCCAACATGTTCATATATTGATTTTCCTCTCTGCTTTTGTTGTACTTGTTTGTTTATTTGGAGAGTTTAGAAGTCCTGTAGTCTTTGGACTACGGGAGGAGGGACTGTAGTAGTTAAAAACAAACAAGGTACCAGTCCAGAGGTAATATGAAATAGAATAGTGTGTAGTTCATATATAGATATTATTTGTAATAGTTATGTAAGGGTGAGCTAAGTGTTTATGTCAGCTTGATCTGTTTCTCTTCTCTTCTCTTCTCTTGCTCAAGCAAGAATATCTTGTCTTGTGCCTCTCTTGTTTAATTTATGGGTAAACATCCAGAGAGAATTCCTCCTTAAATGGGAAATGGACATAGCTTCAGCCTTATGCGAACAGTTTGTGTGCTCTGTTCATGTTTAGAAAAAGGAAATGTGCGCTACATCAACACAACCTAGAAGTTCATGTACTGCACATCTCAGACAATGCTCGGAAAAAGGGGTGTAGAGCTGGCATGGGACTGTGACTCTGGCTTAAACCATAGAAGGCTGTGTAACTGCGAGAAGATAAAAGTTAGGACAGCTGTGGGTTAGAGAGAGAGAAGGAGTGATGGTGCTGCAGTTGTGAGTGTGCATTTGGACCCGGACGGGTGGACTTGGCCTCTGGACTCTGACTGACTGTACCTTGTGACCAACAATGACTGACTGACTCTGTGACAATCTTCTTATTCAATATCTTATCTATTCCATTGCAGGAGGAGTGATTCTGTTCTCTGTTCCCTAACTACCAGATTACCTATCTAACTACTACCCTGCTCAGAATAATTGTAATATTAAATGATTATTTAAACTGGGATCATTTGTCTGAATTCATTTAGTTTACATCAGGCTCGACTTCATCCAAAGTTTGAGGTGTTTTGGGTCATTTAACCATTTAATATTCCGAACCTTATCTTTCCCAGATTCATTTGTACAGCCTGGAGCAGTACAGAAATTTCCACTGTATTTAATTTTATGTCCGACAAGATATGGTGGTGGTGTTGTTTTCTCATATTGTTTTCTTGGGGTGGCTGTGGCTCACGAGGTAGGGCAAGTTGTCTTCAGACCAGCAAGTTGGTGGTTTGACTCCCCGCATGCCTAAGTGTCCCTGAGCAAGACACTGAACCCCGAATTGCTCCCAGTGGCTTGACTAGTGCCGTTGTGTGGCAGCCTTGTTGTGAATGGTGTATGATCTCCTGTAAAGCACTTTGGCCAGTGCAACACACTGAGAAAAATACAGTCCATTTACCATAGACATCTGCTATACTCTCTACACTGTAACCTGTCTGGGTGCAAGGTATTACAGGATAGCGGAACAGGGCAAAAGTGTAATGAGAATGGTGTCACTAATAATCTCCAAACCACAGATAGTTATTGTCCAACTCCTCAGTTCTAAAGAAAATTTTAGCATCCTTCAGCAAATTATTTTGGTTCTACATCCTGCAACTTTAAAGTTTTTGATCAGTCTCACCACTTTCATCAGTTTTGTTTCCTGCAGCAACAGGCAGCTGTTTTAGTAAAAAGGCTTTGAAAAGCCAAATCAGCATTGCCAAGCCATGTCACATTTTGGGGTAGCTCGTTACATCACCTCCATGTAGCGACTCAGTTCAGCTTTAAATAGTTTTGAGAAACAACGAGTCATGACATCATCTTAAATGTATTTATAACTCTCTGATTGCTTTGAGTCCACTATCTTCCCCCTCTCTGTGTCTTTTATCTTGCACCCCCTCCATCCCACTTCTCCTCCATACTGCTTCTGGCTGTGTGCAATTTCAGTCACTGTGAAAATGGAAGGCAGCTCCATGCCGCACAGTTTCATTTAGTTGTCTACTCAGTTATCCACAGAGTTTTTGCATGCTCCCCTCATTCACATTTCAAATGAAATTAAAGATATCTAATCATTTATGCAAGCCAACACACAAATAGTTCCTTTGAAAATGTGTCACAAGCCTGATCTCTGACTTTCTGGGCCCTTCACCTTTCTTACAGCCACTCTGGGTGCATGTGCCCCCCAGGCTCACACATGACACCTAGTTAGCTTTTTCCTACAGTACTGTGCAAAAGTCTTAGGCCACAATTTATACTTTAGCAATATTATGATGACTATATCAATATAATACAATACAGGAAATATGTACACAGTGTTGTAAAAATAAACAAAAACTGGATACTCCAGATCTGGTATTCAAGTTGGGCATGATACTCTGTTCAGTTTATAGAACTTGTATTGTTATTCACAAGAAAACTGAATGCGGGTTGGCAAGAAGAGCTGAATGAATTTCCGCTAACATGCCAGAGAACTTTGGATAGCTTTTTGCTTCACTTGGCTGTAGCATGTGGGTCTAATCAGCCATCTTAAAGTTTGTATATCAGCTCAAATAATTGCATTTGTGTACTGTGTGTCATGACTGAACTAACTGGTTTTCTTCATCCTCTTTGCAGATGCGTAGCACTCAAGGTGTTTCTGTTTGGCCTGTGGGATTTGTGGGTGGCAGAACGTATGAGCGCCCCCTGGTGTCTGGTGGGAAAGTTGTGGGCTGGTACACTGGCTGGAGACCAGACCGATCGTTCGCCATTGACATGGCAGGTAAGGGGCAGTTCACAGATCTATTAAGTTGAGAGATTACTTGGATACAAATCGAAAAAAATGGTGGCATTAGAAAGTAACTAATGCTTTCCCTTACTTATACTTTTGACTGACACTTCTTCAAAGTAAGGTATAATGAAAAAGAGATTACAGTAATAATCATGCTCCCTAGAGGATGAACCATTTGGACACTGTTCCTGTCTTGTAGTGCCACACTCCTGCCAGAATATGAGCTTTACACACAATTTGTCATAATATAATATACACTTTACAATGAAATGCAATGAGAACATTCTTGCTCCAGTTTGATGGTAGAAAATCATTTGGGTCTACTGAAGGACTCGCCTTATGGGAAATGTAGGTTCCAGTATCTGATTAAAGGTCAGAATATTTCAGCCTCTGCTACATCGATCTTCACCTTTTGTTTAAAATGTGTCCCCCCAACCTTATGGATCCTACTGTAAAACACCTGCAGTGTCCCCTTTAAAACAAGTTGCTTTTAAAATAGTATGACATAATTTTATAAAATTGATTATTCAAGAAGATTTCAATAAGATATCAACTGAAATTATTTCACTCAACCACCAGATTGTCTTGCTTCTGTTGTAATAAGACTAAATAAATTACTGGTACTGAGGAAAAAACCTAAAATGTATAGACCTAAGTATGTATGTACAGTATATACATTTTTTGCAGTGTATGACTGAGCAGAACAGGAGACAGGGAGCTGTTTTGCATTTGTAGTTCTCAGCTGTGTTGTGGAAACAGCAAAATAATTGATTCACTGATTATAGACAAGGCATTGTCAACCAGGCTATTCTGTTCTGCTGATTCTCATCAGAGCAGAGAACAAACAATAACTTTAAACAGTGGTCTCTCTGTGTGTGAGCTTGCCTATAGAGATCAGGCAGTTTTTCTATTGGGCTTTTGTTTTTTATGGATTAATTTGCCATAAAATGAGATCTGATCTTTCTAATTTAATGTTCTGAGTGTTACTCCTCCACAGAGGAGCTCCTGTGCTACTTTGCTTGATTGTTTATTCCTCAGATAAAACAGAAAGCAGGATTTCAGAGTCCTTTTGAATAAAACTGTTCTGAAAAGCTAGGGATTAGATGTGATCATAATTTAAGGAGCCCAGTGGAGTGAAAATGAAAGTGTGGGGCATCAGTAAACTCAGCAGTTTATGCATTTTGGATATGGCATGTCCCCAGGTCTCAGCATAAGGTCACACACGAATGTTCTGCACTTCTGAAGTGTTCAGTACAGAGAATATACTGTAATAACAAATGTCCAACAGTGGCTTTGTCTATATTAGGTGGATTACACACTACAATATCTTTTAAACCTTTTCTCAAAGGTTTTGACCTCCTTTACTGATTTCACTTGATGTTCTTGATGTCTTTTCCTGCTCTTATTGCTTTTCCCTACCAATACAACCACAGGCTTTGATCTAGAAGGAAAATGCCACAGCACTACAGCTTATTAGTATTAGTATATTATACAGTATAAGAGTTTCAGTTATTTTTAATTTGTCCTCAGGTCCAAATGCTTTTACAGTTTGTGATTGTCCATTTGACCTCATCGAGGACAGTTTTTAAACCTGCTTATTATTTCCAGCATTTCCCTAAGTCCATTTGGAAAGTAGATTTTTTTTATAACTATAACTAATATAGTACCACTTTGTTTTATACACATTTTGAACTGCCAGAGTTCAGTCAATCAAAACTTTATTTGTATAACAGCTTTCATACAGGTTAATACAATTCAAAGACAAAAGACAGAATAAATGTGAACATTAAAACAATTTAAACAAAACAAAGAGACCAATGGACAGAACTGTTGGAATAGTTATATATATCTGTCCATCTGATACTTTGTGAGTGGTCTCTCTCACATTCACATAGGTAATTCAGAGTAACTAATCAACCTAAGCTGCAGCCAGTACCCAGAGAAAACTCATACAGGCACAGGAAGAACATGCAAACTCCACACAAAAAGGCCCTGGTCTCTCTCTCTCTCTCGCCCTATTAGCACTTGTTTGGTTAAACACTTTAACACCACCTGTGTTTTTGTTTTTCTGACAAGGCACCTCTTGTAGCACTGGGAATATCACTACCCACTCTATATACCACACACCTAAAATAACTAACTAACTAAGTAGTTGTAGTTGGCTAAACTTGACCAAACCTTAAAGCTACTCTACCAAATTTTTTTTCAGCCGCTAGAGGCTCTAATGAGACATAAAGCAAACTCACACCAGAAGCCACTCCTTACCACTTTTTGCTCCTCCCATCCTATTTCCTAATGCTATGATGTAAGCTATGGATACCTGGTTCCGACTAACCATACATAATGCAGCTTCCAGTACAAAGCTAGCATTAGCTGACTAATGAGTAAATTTGGCAAAGCTCTGGCTGCTACTTTTGAGACAGACAGCCTTCGCATTACACAAAGCTCAAATTATTCCCAAGTTTGAATAATATTAATTCAATACAGAGGTAAAATTGTGCATGTAAAGTCACAAATGTTACCAATACAAATACTTTAGATGCTAATGCTTCCAGTAGGAAGAACACCTGAATCAAATCTGAGTCCTTTGGCTGCATTTAACACTGCCAAAAGCCAATGTGATGTCAACCCTGTTTTTTTACCATTTCTTTGTCCTACTCTCTCTGTACAAAAAAACACCACCTCTTTGGTCTGGCAGCCAATGTTTTGATTTTTAGCTGCCAATGGCTTCATGGCTGGCTGTTTAAAATGACTGCTCACAGTTTGAAAATGCTTGTTAGAACTGTTATACCCCCAGTTCTTTTACTGGACAGATCTGAGTAAGGAGGGAGTCTGTCTTTCTTGATTTTAGTGCTGGTTTATTTACAAAATATATATATATATATATATATAAAAGGATTACAGAACACAACCAAGGGCTCTCTCCTTCAGGCAAGCTGCTGGAGAAGAGAGCAGGGGAAAAAAGCACACGGAAACACAGAGCCTAATACATTTATCAGTTTTGGGCTAACCCCTTACACAGATGAAGTCCGTC